GTTAAAAGGTCAATAAAAAATGTGATATGACCCCTTTAAGCTAAATATTGATGTTGCAAGCCCACATCAGTCTCATAGAGGGTGAACTCATTAAGTAGAGAGTAAGGGGAAAATGTCCCTTAGTTCAGGACATTATTTGAAAGATGAGCTCGATATGAACTCGGCCCCACAGGAGGGGAGAAAAAGTATGTCCATTGACTGAAAATGATTGACAGAAAGCCTCTGTATCTTTCTGAAGTTTCTCTCTTTACCCAGAGGCACATCTGCAGAGTCTTCTTAAGATGACTGAGGACAAGAGCCGCTTCAATCAGAAATGTACAGAGCTCAGACGCAAAGGATTTAACGAAAATGAGCAAAAGGAGAAGAAAAAAAAAGAGGAATGGACGCACCCTGCTCCTCATCCAGAGTCATGGATCCAAGCTGTTTGTTTACCACAGATGAGGGAGAATCTGAAACAAAAATAAGACGTACTGAACAACTGAAACAACAACAGAGCCAGCACAAACATTTAAGTGCAGAACTAAATCCTCAAGAAACACACTGCAGCACAGGCAGGGGGAAAAAAACGAAACCTTCCCACAACAAACTGAAAAGCCACAAACTCTGTAAAGATGAGTCTAGGACGCTTAATTCTGAGTTAAAAACACAAAGCCAAGGGTTACAGATTGAGTAAGCTGTTCCTTAAAAAACGTGAAATGACATCCAGGAGGTGAGCAAATACAAGAGAACAATTTATCAGGAACAAACTGATGCATAGCCTTCTTTAATGCAGTATTCACTATAAGGCCGAATAAACAATTCATACAGCAATCTGTAGTTCAGGAGTTCAAACTGATGGTGGTAGAAAAGTTTATTCAGATGCCAGGCCTACACCTGACAGTGCCTTGAAGCGACAAAGCAACCAGAAGTCTGGAAAGAGTTTGCGAATAACCAGCTAGATGTGATGGCAGGATGTTGCTGAACTAATAGTGCAATGCTTTAAGCACAGAAAATACACTGCGTACACTTGGGCTATGGAATAAAATGAACTTTTACTGAAGTGCCTGCTTCATAGACAACAAATCCGTTTAGTTTTCCTCTAACCATTTCATAGATGTCTAAAATAAGTGAACAGATCACACTCGCTGATAGCATTAAGTATTTTGTGGAATATTGCAAAGGGAAGTGCAACAAGAGAAGGCATGAATAGAACAAGATAAACGTGGATCAATATTCAAGGTTTAAATTGGAGACTAAAAAACTGCCAACATCAAACAGTACAAACCAACTTTATATGTAATTATGCGATTGCATTTCAGGTGAATCAATCAACAGATGGCAGTATATGCATATGTTTGACATCTGAGCTCTGTTCCAAGATCTAGTAAGCTGCCTCACTTACTACTGACTACACAGGCAGCTACCTTCTAAAGCCCTGTCCTAAATCAAGGTGCATTTGATGTGGACGCTTGTCCATAAAGTCAATTTATCCAAATAGTCAGTGTATGTATGATTCAGAAGGGTTCGAAAGTAAGATTTTTTTCCCTTAAAACCTTTATTTACTAAGGACACATTAAATTGATAAAAAGTGACTAACATATTTTGCAGTGTTACCAAAATTCTACTGCAGATAAATGCTGTTCTTTTGAATAAATGTATCACGTTTTCACTAAAAAACTGCCAACATCAAACAGTACAAACCAACTTTATATGTAATTATGCGATTGCATTTCAGGTGAATCAATCAACAGATGGCAGTATATGCATATGTTTGACATCTGAGCTCTGTTCCAAGATCTAGTAAGCTGCCTCACTTACTACTGACTACACAGGCAGCTACCTTCTAAAGCCCTGTCCTAAATCAAGGTGCATTGTGTGTGGACGCTTGTCCATAAAGTCAATTTATCCAAATAGTCAGTGTATGTATGATTCAGAAGGGTTCGAAAGTAAGATTTTTTTCCCTTAAAACCTTTATTTACTAAGGACACATTAAATTGATAAAAAAGTGACTAACATATTTTGCAGTGTTACCAAAATTCTACTGCAGATAAATGCTGCTCTTTTGAATAAATGTATCACGTTTTCCACCAAAAATATTAAGCAGCACAACTGTTTTCAACACTGATAATGTTTCTTGACCAAAATCTGCATATTAGAATGATTTCTAAAGTATCATGTGACACTGAAGACTAGAGTAATGGCTGCTGAAAATTCAGTACAGGAATAAATTACATTTTAATACATTAAAATGGAAAAAAGCTATGTAAAATAGCGATAATATTTCATAATAATATATGTGTAATACTGTCTAATATTTTGGCCAAGGCAAAGTACATTACATGGCATGACTTTGGGCAGCTTTTGAGTCAGGTGTGTATCTGTGATGTCTAAAAATGTCACCTAGGTGGGCAGCTCACTAGGTTTTGGAGCAGAGCTCTGCTGTTGGTGAATGTGAGTGTGAATGACCAGCGGTTAGATGTGTGTGCGTCTGTGTGGAAGAGGGGAAGAGGAACACACTCCATAGCCAGAGGTGCAGCAGCAAACCAGGACAGCCATGAAACAGGCAGCCAGAGGGGTCAGGAGGTTAAAGGAGAGCGGGGATGCAGGCTGGGAAGAGATGGTAACCTGCAGGGGGGCCTGCGTCAGCAGCAGCAGCCTGTTGGGCTGAGCTCTCTGTGCTGGAGGTCGCGGGTACAGAAGGGACTGAGCGTCTGCCCTGTCCTGGGGGGTCAGACAAGAGAAGCAGCCTCTGCAAACGTCTACACACTAAACTTACCGGCAGCCTGTGAGGACCATATTCTGACAGTGTGGGGTCAGAGGGAGAGAGAAGAGCAGGATGGGAAAATTGATGGGATGGGGGAAAAGAAGAGAGGCAAATCATAGATAAGAAGGAATGCTGGATAAAAGAGCAAATTAAAGATTGAAGCTGTAGGCTGAGTGATGTCAGACAAGACTGCAGGGTTTCATCACCCGTCATAAAAAAATTAAAAAAGCGTGCATTACACTCACACGTCCACACATGTTCTAGGGGCAGGAACAGAAACGCACACATAAAAATGCCTGCAATGGCATGATGAGCAAAAAGGAGGGATTTATCATTCAATAAAAAAGAAGACAAAAGACACTACATGTAACATCCTGCTTCTGTTTATGTGATTGTTGATGCAGGCCCTAACAGCACACAATGTTCAAAAAATAAACCCCACCTAAAGACAACAAATCAGTCAACACATAGGTCTTAAAAAAAGAAAATACATAGAGTTGGATGGTTGGGAGATGTAAAGTAAGCAGACATGATAAATGGACCAATTATAAAAAATTGAATTTGAAAGTTTATTATAAGCACATCGTCTTTATGGAGCAGAGATACAATGACTGCATTTACATGCACAAGACAATTCTGATTACTACTGGAATATGATCACATGATCTGAATTAAGCCACTACTTTGGTTTTTACAAAAAATTATATTGTAAAATAATACTTAAAATTAAATAATTGTGTTATATTTAAATATATTTTTAAATGTAATTTATTCCTATGATGGCAAAACTGAAGCAGCCATTACGTTTCTTGACCAAAATCTGCATATTAGAATGATTTCTAAAGTATCATGTGACACTGAAGACTAGAGTAATGGCTGCTGAAAATTCAGTACAGGAATAAATTACATTTTAATACATTAAAATGGAAAAAAGCTATGTAAAATAGCGATAATATTTCATAATAATATATGTGTAATACTGTCTAATATTTTGGCCAAGGCAAAGTACATTACATGGCATGACTTTGGGCAGCTTTTGAGTCAGGTGTGTATCTGTGATGTCTAAAAATGTCACCTAGGTGGGCAGCTCACTAGGTTTTGGAGCAGAGCTCTGCTGTTGGTGAATGTGAGCGTGAATGACCAGCGGTTAGATGTGTGTGCGTCTGTGTGGAAGAGGGGAAGAGGAACACACTCCATAGCCAGAGGTGCAGCAGCAAACCAGGACAGCCATGAAACAGGCAGCCAGAGGGGTCAGGAGGTTAAAGGAGAGCGGGGATGCAGGCTGGGAAGAGATGGTAACCTGCAGGGGGGCCTGCGTCAGCAGCAGCAGCCTGTTGGGCTGAGCTCTCTGTGCTGGAGGTCGCGGGTACAGAAGGGACTGAGCGTCTGCCCTGTCCTGGGGGGTCAGACAAGAGAAGCAGCCTCTGCAAACGTCTACACACTAAACTTACCGGCAGCCTGTGAGGACCATATTCTGACAGTGTGGGGTCAGAGGGAGAGAGAAGAGCAGGATGGGAAAATTGATGGGATGGGGGAAAAGAAGAGAGGCAAATCATAGATAAGAAGGAATGCTGGATAAAAGAGCAAATTAAAGATTGAAGCTGTAGGCTGAGTGATGTCAGACAAGACTGCAGGGTTTCATCACCCGTCATAAAAAAATTAAAAAAGCGTGCATTACACTCACACGTCCACACATGTTCTAGGGGCAGGAACAGAAACGCACACATAAAAATGCCTGCAATGGCATGATGAGCAAAAAGGAGGGATTTATCATTCAATAAAAAAGAAGACAAAAGACACTACATGTAACATCCTGCTTCTGTTTATGTGATTGTTGATGCAGGCCCTAATAGCACACAATGTTCAAAAAATAAACCCCACCTAAAGACAACAAATCAGTCAACACATAGGTCTTAAAAAAAGAAAATACATAGAGTTGGATGGTTGGGAGATGTAAAGTAAGCAGACATGATAAATGGACCAATTATAAAAAATTGAATTTGAAAGTTTATTATAAGCACATCGTCTTTATGGAGCAGAGATACAATGACTGCATTTACATGCACAAGACAATTCTGATTACTACTGGAATATGATCACATGATCTGAATTAAGCCACTACTTTGGTTTTTACAAAAAATTATATTGTAAAATAATACTTAAAATTAAATAATTGTGTTATATTTAAATATATTTTTAAATGTAATTTATTCCTATGATGGCAAAACTGAAGCAGCCATTACGTCAGTCTTCAGTGTCACATGCTCCTTCAGAAATCATTCTAATATGCTGATTTGGTGATCAGGAAACATTTCTTATTATTATTGTCTTATAATTGTTGAAAACAGCTGTGCTGTTTAATATTCTTCTGGAAACTGAGATACATATTTTTCAAGATTCTTTGATGCACAGAACGTTCAAAAGAAAGGTATTTATTTTACAAATAAACCTCTGTAACATTATAAATATCTTCACTGTCAGTTTTAATCAACTGATTGCATCCTTGCTGAATAAAAGTATTAATTTATTTTAAACAAAATCTTACTGACCTAAAACTTTTGAACAGTAGTACATGTGGACAAAAACCCTTTTTATAATAGCTGTAAAGCATGTAAATATCTATTTTTAAAATAGATTAAACATAATATATGAAATGGAACATTATGTGCATGTAAACATGGCCATTGTCTCATATTAAAGATGAATGCACTCTTCAGTGTTTTGCCAATTGTGACAGACTTACCAGATAAAGCTGCCTCTCTAGATGGGGTGGGTGTGGCTGAAGGAGTGGGTGTGGCCGAGGGAGTGGGCGTAACTTCATCCTGGCTCTTCTGCTCTGTGTCTGGAGATGAGAGGAGAGAGGAGGAAGCAACGCTCTCCATGGAGGACGAGCTGGAGGGGGCAGGAGCTGTCACAGTGGACGAGGAGCCTGAGGAGGAGGAGATAGACTTGGGGAGAGGCTCTGTAGGTGCAGGAGGAGCAGCAGGTGTAGGTGGAGGATCAGAGGAGGGTGTCTCCACCTCCATCGCACCTTCAGTTGAGACCTCAGTGGGCTCCTGTGCCTGAGTGTGTGTTTCTGAGGTTGCAGATGTTCCCTCTGGTCGAGCGGCCGTACCTGGAGACAAATCATCAAACCTTGAGCTTAACATTTAAGAGTAAATTCATGGAGTTTTTTTTTTTAATAGAAGATATTTAATTCCATGATTTACACTCTTTCATGTGATACATGCTTCAATGCACCATCCAATGGTTGATGTTTATTGACAAAGAGGATCAAAGTTGAAATTGCCTCCATAGAGTTCAATGCATTGTGCAGTGCCAATGTAAGTCACATGGAAGAGCTTTTAAGGCCCCTATATACTTCAAGCTAAATAGAAGAATGATCTGGTGTGATGTCATTGCAAAACAAAATCAGGTCCAAAGAAAGTTTGTTTGGATTTCGAAACAGCTTGCCAAAGCAAAGTTTCCAGAAAAGTTCGTTAACACCTTCAAACTACCATTGGTCCATGAAAATGTTTTATATTAAAACAATACGTAGGTGTGCTCTGGGGTTCTGCCTTCTTTGACAGACTGAATAGAAGAAATCAACCAGAGAACATTTCCACATCAAAGTCAGACGCAAGTCAAAACTTGTACACAATGGAGAGCTGCTTTATTGTAAAGTATTGAAGTTGTAATTCTAATTGAAAGCAACACTGGCACAGTTTTTCATATTTAATGCAGTAAAACTGCTTGCTTTAAAGCAATCTATAATAAGTTACATAAATAAACGTGACTTTACATGACTTGACTGGAATGCCAAATTACACAGCTTGGGCAAACATATCCATATCACTATGACCAGATGCTATTTAGTTATTGAGAGATCGGTATTGTATGTTATGTTTGTCGGTATGTTCGCAAACAGCATACTATGGAAGCCCGTTTCTGCCACTGAATAAAAAATAAAAAATGGTAATTGCCAGTTTTTATCTCACAATTCTGACTTTTTTCCTTGCAATTGCAAGTTTACATCTCGCAATTCTGACTTTTTTTCTCAGAACTGTCCTAATACAAACTCGCAATTCTGACTCAGAATTGTGAGATAATAAATTCACAATTGCGAGTTACAAAGTCAGAATTGCAAGATATAAAAAGACTGATGTTCACAATTCTGACTTTTTTTCTCAGAATTGCGAGATATAAACTCTGAAAAAGAAATATAAATATAAATTCTGAGAAAGGAAGTCAGAATTGCGAGTAAATCTTACAATTCTGAGTTTTTTCTCGCAATTACGATACTGACTTTATAACTTGCAACTGCAAATTCATATCACACAATTCTGAGGAAAAAGTCAGAATTGCAAGTTTATATCTCGCAATTCTCACTTTATAACTCCCAACTGCAAATTTATATCTCACAATTCTGATAAAATAAGTCAGAATTGCGAGATGTAAACTCGCAATTGCAAGAAAAAAGTCAGAATTGTAAGATAAATTCGCAATTACCTTTTTTTATTCAGTGGTGCAAATGGCCTTCCATAGTATACTGCTTGCATATATGGAAATTCTTTCTATCCCAAATCAAAGAACAAAAAAGAACTTTGAAAAGATATATAAAAGAATATATCAGTATATTCATAGTGTGTATTCAGTACATTCAGAGTGGACCAAGGCTGTTTTACCTCTGGGTCGAGTTTGAGGGCGTGCTCTGCTGCTCTGGGCCTCACTGGCCTCTTCAAACCAGCGTGACAACATGTCTGACATCCTCTGCATGAGCGATACATTTGGACTCTGTTCTCCTGCAAAGACAACAAACTTCTTCATGATCAATATCAAACCAAATCAGAACCTAAATCATTCCACTCACAGAAAGCAGATGCACTGGAAGCCTGCTGTGTACATCAAGAGCAAGCTGCAATATGCCAGGAAGTAGTGAAGTAAAGCAGTCTTTGGACTAAATCCCTGTGAAAAACTAACAAGCTCCCCTTAGACAAACTAAGCTGTTGATATTCAAAGTCAGAGGTACTGAGGGAGATTAAACATGTATTGAGAGACACTAGAGACCTCAGGCCTCAGATCGTTAAAAACATGGAGGAGAATGCCAGTGCGGACAACAGCTCTGTTCATGGAGGAGACAGCTGGAGCTGAAGTGGATGTGCAAATGAGTTGTGGTAAACAACTATGGTAGACAATGCCTTGATGCTTTAACATTTTAATACAGTTTTAAAGTAAAACAGTCCTTTTTGACGGGGTGTGGCTAAGTAGAAAGTGCTAATAAATAAAATAAAATAAAACAAAAATTTTGGATTAACTATGAAATGCTGCTAATAGGAATAATAAACAGTGTGGGATGGGTTACACTTTTCAGGTCTTACAGAATGTATTAGTAATGGAGTTTAGCTAGACTAGGAAGTGCTGATTATCATATAAAATAAGCTGCTTTATACAACATCTGTTAGTCCAAAAAAATTAAAAAATTAAATAAATGTAAAAAACAATATCGATCAATGATTTGTGATTTCTGACAAGTACAAGAACACACATATCTGTGGATCTATTCCTGGTGCATTAATCTGAAGTCACCAAATAAGAGTGTTTGTAAACAGAGCCCTCAGTGTTTATTCGCCTGTGTATATGTACTATCCGTGCTGCTGTGTGTTCAGTATTTGTGACACCAGCATTTGGACCTGCGCGTTCTCATCTTACCGTCACGCTCCCTCTCGCTCTCAGGCCGAGCGCGCGGTCCTGTGTCCGACCAGTCACCTCTCAGACGCAAGCGCTTGACCGGGGGCTGCCTCAGCTGTGGGAAGACACATCAACAAGCTGTCAGTCACAGTCAAAGCCTCTCACACGCCCTAAAAATAACACTCTCTACCCCGAGACTTGACATCACTTTAGAATCATCTAGCCCGGCACGTTTGCAGGAAGTATGACCAACAAACATTTTAATCAGGGCAGATCTCATAATGGTACAATGCAAAGCGAAACAGAATTGCCATCATGGATTGAAACCAGAGGTGTGTTACAGGGGGTTCACCAATTATTACATTGTTTGATAAAAAGTAATTTTTGAACAATTAAAATCAGCATTAGACAAAAATTTAGTTCACTTCAACAAAAGCTTACAATAAGAAGTTAAAGTTCAAGTAAATGTATCTATCTCTTTGTGCCGCCCGAGTTAAAATGGCTTTAGCTTCATAAAGTAATGTAATGTAATAAATGTATTTTTAAAGTCAGTGAAGTCCAAACAACATTGCACCCCATTGATTTTCCTTGTGTGTACATTTTTTCAAAATATGTTCTTTTGTGTTCCACTGAAGAAGGAAAGTAAATCATGAGTTTAGTTTTTATTTTGGGCTGAACTATCCCTTTAAAAAGCAAAACTCAATTTGACACAATATGTATCAAGTGGTTTCCGTATCCAACGAGGGGTCATTGGTCTGAAAAAAAGTGAAAGACCTTGGGTTGTTGATGGGATAAACTATTGAGGCCACTTTGCCACGTGCCTCGCTCTCACACTTTTACCATCTCAGTCAGTCAGGACACTCTATTTTGGGTGCTAGGGTGCATTAACAAGACAAGCACCGGCTCTAACACAGCCACATTAGACCAAACAAAGCACATCAGAGACCAATGCTTTCATTCTAAAAATAATCTAATAATGAGCACTGCAGCTTCTCTCCACTTCACATGGAGGGATAAAATGAGCTATTCTTTTTTTTACTTGGTTAAGAGGCTGGAAAGGACACATGCCTGTTAAGGTGCTTATGGTTTAAATCAAAGTAAAACCTGCAGTACCCAGATTGGCTCTTTAAAAAAAATGTAATATTTAAAATGTAAATTTGAATCCTTGATCGATTTAACCAGTAGCTGTAGTACATTACTTCACAATATCTCCTCAGCAGGGCCTTTGGAACATTTTTTTGTTCCAAAAGAACAAATGGATGGGCCTCATTCTAATGAATAGGCTATACTATAGAGGTCCTAAGAGAGCCCCTCTCTAATATCTCTGCTGCCTACAATGAGTTTGAATGTCATACATACAAGTAAACCATACTAAGTCCTCAACAATTTCACATTGCTCTAGCTCCACATTCACTGATTGCAAAAGAGTGGAGTAAAACCTTGGTGTTGTAACACAGATTTATTGAAGTCAACAGGAGCTCCTTCACTCTCGCTGGCAGTCACTGTGCACTGGGTGCCTATTTCTGTCTCAGCTGTGGAGCTTTGCGTGTGTCTGCACCTCTATTTGGAAAGGAATCTGATCGCGGGGGATCCGGACACAGCTGATCACACCGTACAACAGCTGAAGGGACTGAAGCGGTGACCCAGCAAATTTCACCACTATAGTACCAATACAGAAGGAAGATGTAGACTGGCAGTTTAGTTTAAGGAGCCTACTGTTTAAGTATAAATGCAAAACAAAAATAGACATATTTTTGATGTTTGATTAAATAAATGAGCATAAGAGAAAGAAACTTATTTTTAAAAAGAATCTGCATGGGCGTTATGCTTCTGGTGGATTGGCTGTGATCGTCTTCACTGGTATCAAAAATGTGACACATTGTGACAGATAATTGTTGCTGGAAACGTGTTGCATCACGCCTGGTTAGTACACGATGTAACAATCACAAAGCCTGTCTAACTTCCTTTGCTTTTTCTTTCCCTTAAAGTTGCAGTCAGTCATACAGTTCCTCATTAAAAAAGTTTTACACATAAAATAAATTAATTGTACTTGGAAAATGTATTTAGGTTCATGTAATCAAGCCGTGTTACTGTACAATTTCACTCAATGAATACATTTGTTACATCATCAATATGGTATTAAGATATAAAATTCCCTATTGCATATTTTTATTCCCTGGCCAGAATCAGTCTTAACATGGAAATATCTCTCAGCAGTGCAGCAAGCAGTGATCCACATCCTAAACCATAGCATCAATGTCATTTGATCCATCCTCTCTGACATCCTCTACAAAACTAATTTCAAACTGCACCACTGAAGCACAGTACTGCTGAGGATTATACAGAGTGCATGAGACAAGAGCGCAGGGAACTTCAAAAGTCCTTTATTTCGATTTTGCTTTAGGCATGAACAGACTAACAGCACACACTTGCCCCCAGACCAGTCGCTCTTGATTTTCAGATGTCTGGCTCCATTTCCATTAGGGCTGCACAAATGATGGAATTCAAATCGAAAGTAGGATATGGTCTTATGCGATTAATAAACCACAAAAGGTTGCAATTTCATTACATGATACATAGTCTGAATGCTTCAGAGTGAACAAGCAGCACTCTGGTGACTCAAGCTCAGAGGATGCATGGGTCTCATGCTTTCACATTCTAGTACAGTTCACTTTAAAATAGTGCTTGTTTACCATGAAGATTCACATTTTAAAATTTGCTGAGAATTTAGTCACCCTCAGCCCTCAGGCCATCCAAGATGGAGATGAGTTTGTTTCTTCATCAGAACAGATTTGGCATTTAGCATTAATTTAATTTAACAAATTTAGCATTACATCACTCACTCACTAATGGATCCTCTGCAGTGAATGGGTGCCGTCAGAATGAGCGTTCAAACAGCTGATAAAACATCACAATAATCCACAAGCAATCCACACGACTCTAGTCCATCAATTAACATCTTGTGAAGTGAAATCTATCGTTTATACATTTTTAAACTTAAAACAAGTCCTCTATCCATAATATTCCATTCTCCAGTGAAAATGTCTGAATCAAGAGAGTAAAAAGGCACAGACGTTTAAATAAATAAAAGAATTTAAAAAACAGCTCTAAACAAATAGACAACAGGGACAACAGGGAATGGACTTTTTCACTGGAAGAAGCATTATTATGGATTATGGACTGGCATTTTAAACTAAAGCAATGGATTAAACACCTTAATGATGGATTTGTTTATTACAAACCCACAGCTTTTTGCCTCACAAGACTATACTGATGGACTGGAGTCGTTTGAATTACTCGTGGATTATTGTGATGCTTTTATCAGCTGTTTGGACATTCTAATGGCGCCCATTCACTGCAGACGATCCATTGGTGAGCAAGTGATGTAATGCAAAATTTCTCCTTCTATTGATTCAATGAAGAAACAAATTCATCTACATTTTGAATGGCCTAAAGGAGAGTAAATTTTCAGCAAATTGTCATTTTTGGGTGAACTGTTCCTTTAATTCAACATGAAAACATTTGATTTGCAAAATTCAAAGTCAATGCATCTATAACATACATACTGGTAAAAAACGTATAGCCTGAATGCACTGTAAGTCGCTTTGGATAAAAGCTTCTGCTAAATGCATAAATTATTAAATTATTATTAAATTAATTAACAAACCTCAGGTTACCCATGTTATGGTTAAATGTGACCCTGGACCACAAAACCAGTCATAAGGGTTAATTTTTCGAAATTGAGATTTATACATCATCTGAAAGCTGAATAAATAAGCTTCCCATTGATGTATGATTTGTTAGGATAGGACAAGATACAACTATTTTAAAATCTGGAATCTGAGGGTGCAAAAAAATCTAAATATTGAGAAAATTGCCTTTAAAGTTGTCCAAATGAAGCTCTTAGCAATGTATATTACTAATCAAAAATTAAGTTTTGATATATTTAAAGTAGGACATTTACAAAATATCTTCATGGAACATGATCTTTACTTAATGTCCTAATGATTTTTAGCATAAAAGAAAAATCAATCATTTTGACCCATACAATGTATTTTTGGCTATTGCTACAAATATACCCCAGCGACTTAAGACTGGTTTTGTGGTCCAGGGTCACAAATATTGAAATGCTTGGTATTTTTAACGTGACACTGATATCACAAGAATTTCTGTGGCAAGAGCTGTTGCAGTCTTGTCAAGTGCTGTGTTGCAGATTTATTCCTTTTTGTTCTGCTCTCACAATGTGAAAATGACAAGAGACACTGTATTCTTGCGATCTTGTCCATTTAATGAATTTCCCATGAATTATTCTACTGGCCTACACTTGAATTCTCTTGTTTCTCTACACAAATCCTCACTCACATCTTTCTCTTTGTCTATATTTTCACAAGGTGCTTTAAATCTTAAATCTTTATTTTCTCCACTTTTCTTCACTTCTAATCGCTATTACCATCCTGTACTAACGAAATGTTTTTGAAGTAGGGAAATGCAATAAACCAGATACTGTATTTTTTTTTAAAGATTTAGTTTAGCCATTTTTGCCTTTATTATGATAGGACAGATCAGACAGGTCCTCGAGTCGGGATTCGAACTAGGGACGCCTGTAGCGTAACGGCACTGTAAATCCTTTGAACTATTTTTATCTAAATGATGTAAAGCAAATGCTCAATGTTTTAAAAAAAATAATTTCGGTCAATGCAACCTCTGCTCTGACAACAAATTACCTCGGGTACACACTATAAGCTCTACTGTAAAAATGGCCAGTGAACATCCTCCTGATATCTTCTTACCTCATCTCGCCGCTCTTCAGAAGGGCCCTTGAGCTCCCTGGCCTGGTCATCTCTGGGGTCAAACAGGTAGATGTAGTCAGAGGAGTAACTGACCAGCACTTCTTGTCCATCTTCACTGTAACACAGAGAGGTGACGCGGCAGGATTTGGTGGACAGGTGGGCTGGGACAAAACGTACACACATGCCAGTCGTCCCTCTGCCCATGTAGTTACCTAGTGAAACAGAAAAACCTTTTTAGGAAAAATAAAAAAAAGTCATTTAAAAATTTGGGCTTCTTTCTAGTTTAAAGGAGGAACAGAATGCTTCATAGACTTCTGAGAGTTTAAGACCTCTCATTGCAGTAATCGAAACAGAAAGGACACAGATCCATATCTGACTCCAAATGCTAAATATAAAAGATAATTAAATCACGTGACATATATTTGACATATATCCTCCATGAACCTGATACACAGAAGAACAAAAGGCTGAAAAGCTGAACATGAATCATTTCTCACCCGTAGCTCTTGTTCCCAGCATTCTTCTGTCATAGATCCTCACTGAGCTATCTGAACAGCCCACAGCAAGATAGTAGGGGACCAGGGGGCAAATGGATATTGAGGTAGCGGCTCTCCGGCAATTAATCAAAATGTCCTGAAAAAGGGACAGCAGAGAAAAAGAGAAAGTGGGGAATGACATGGAGAGCAAAAGAGGAATAAACATGTGAATAGTAACTTATGAATAAGGAAATCTTTAAATAAACATTGCTAAATCAAACACAAAAGTCAAATAGAAAGAACAGTGCTGTTTTTTTAGATACATGATTGACTAAGAGTATCATTTGGAATATAATCAATAAGGTACACTTATGTTCAAAAGGGTAATCATTTTTAAGAAGTCTCTTGTGCTTGCCAAGGCTGCATTTGTTTGATCTAAAATATAGTAAAAACTATTTAAATATAATAATTTAAAATAACTGTTTTCTGTTTGAATAAATATTGAAATGTAATTTATTTCTTTGATGGCAAAGCTGAATTTTAATCAGCCATTACTCCAGTTTTCTGAGTTATACTATTCTTCAGAAATCAATCTAATATGATTTCTGGTGCTCAAGAAACATTTATTATTATCACTGTTGAAAACAGTTGTGCTGCTCAATAATTTTGTGGAAACTGATATATTTTCTCAGGATTGTTTGATGAAAGTTCAAAGGAACAGCATTTATTTGAAACATACATCTTTGTAACATTATAAATCATTTATACTATGACTTTTGATCAATTGAATGCATCCTTGATAAATGAAAGTATTCATTTTTCTTTCAAAAAAGATATATAAATGTTACTGCATCAGATCAGTAGTGGTATAAGTATATGCCGTTATAAGTATAAAAAAAAAATTATAGGTTCTCAAGGACCCCTTGCAGTATCTTCACAAATAATAAAGGTTAAAAACCTTGCCATTAGATAACAAAATATCCAACCAAATGACATTTATTTTATTATTCATTTATTATGAATTGGTTCAAAATCCTGCTTCCCATGTATTGTGTATTTTAAACCTATTCAACAGCCGAAGCCCTGCCACTGGCAGAACCCAAGCAGAGATCCAAACAGCACTTACAAGCAGTGTGCTTGTTGTCTCTGCCTCACCCAAAATTCCTTCTGATAGCAACAGAAAGCAACTGTGCCCTCGGGCTAACAGCGTCCTCACCGCACACACTCTGTGGGTTGAAAAATTAAGGTCGGATGCTGCTTCCTCAAAAATGCATCAGTGTTATTCACCAGCTGTAATGGTGAGACTGAAGGGTGTGGGAGGGGAGCCTGATCTCAGATCAGTACAGCAGCTCCTCCCCAGAGCACTACCAAAAAGAAACATGCTGAGCTTTTGGGTATACAGTGTTTGATGATGTATGTATCTACTATACATTCAAAACCTTCTTACATCTTTACAGTCCTCTTTTGTGCAGCTCGTCTTCATCCGCAAGTCAAACCACCTCACTGTACCGTCTTCTCCACAGGACAAGAAGGTATATGGGTCATTTGGCACCGTCATTATCTGTAGACAGAAACAGAAAGACATCAACCTCCACCTCACCACATGTCAACTGCAAACAAAGACAGGTCTGACACAGAGAAACATTACCAATCCCTCTTTGTGGCTTTTATTTCCTTCTCACTGCACTCTCCACATAACATCGTACCTCATAAGCAGTGCCATAGTGGCAGGTGAACTGGCACTGCCTGTTGATTTCTTGGCTCTTCTCTGTGTGTGTGTAGAAAATGATGCCATCTCCTGAGCAGGACACAATCTGTTGATCATTAGTGTGGGGCATGAACTTTGCGCTGAAGATGTTGGCCCGGTGTCCTGAACGAATGGTCATTTTGACCTAAAGACAAAAGTACAGCATATTAATTTAACTTAACTGAACAAAAACAACAACAATAGGCCACTGATTTGCACAGGGTTGGTTTAATCAAGCTTTAACATTTTAGAATGATCAGAATTCAATGCATCAACATTTTTAGATTCTTTTCTAGAAATTTCTGGCAGATATTGATGGATACAGATGACAATCATTTTCATGTTATGGCCTATAACTAATAAATGGATTATATAAAAAATTCTATATTCTATAGAATTTATTTTAAATGGTATTTTATCTAAATAAAATTTAAAAATAAAGCACTATAAACTTAAAATCAATATTTTTAAAAATGACAGCATGAAATAATAAATTTAACAGTTATTTAATTATGACTTAGTTCTTAAAGATTAACTTTAAATGAGTATTAGACGACAGCAAAGGTCACCTATACATGTATGGAAATTAGACTAAATCATATTTACCGATACCGATAATAAAAAAATTCAAATATATACCAATAACAATATGTACGCCAGAGATTAAAAATAATCCAATATTTTAAGACAATGCCTACATTATCACACATTACTAAAGTGAAATACAGTTTAATTTATAGCAATTGTGCTGTTATCTTACCTTTCTGTTGTAAGGGTTTGTGATAACCAAGTTAGTGTCATCGGAACCTGATAAGATGTATTCTCCTGTCTCATTCCAGGATATGGTGTTAACCTTTAAAGAAACATAAATACCAGCTAATATAAACAACAGTGTTGATTACCTCTAAAACAAAATGCTAATTTCTTCTGTTCAATAAACTGTGCCATAATTTAGTATAGCTCCATCAATTCCTTTAAAGAAATAGCTCACCAGAATGTAACACTCTGTCATCATAGATACAAAAACCCATACAATTTCTTTCTTGGAACACAAAAGGAGATATTTGGAAGAACTATTATTTTGTGTTCCACAGAAGTAATTTCTATTTGTTGACATCATTAACAGAGCACCACTGGTAGGGCTGGGTTTTTTACAAAGATTTCCCGATTTGATTCTATTCAATTCAATATCGATTATTCTGGATATTTATCAGGTACAGTAGGCTACATGCCAAATTTTCTCAAGGAAAAAAAAACTCTCAACTAATACTGTAAAATATACATAAAATCAGTTGGTACTACATTATTATAATATTGAATTAAAATTAGCTGATTTATATACAAACACTTAAATTACACTCAATTAAGTTTTTATAATAATAAAGTTTCAATTATATAATTATATTTCTACTCCAATTCGTTTAAACATTTAAATGGTGGCTGTCATAAAAACATGATGGATTTATTAAAACATTATGAACATATAAACATATGGTGCATATATTTAGCAAAATGCTCCTCTCTAGAATACATTTCTCTACCTGACTAATGAGTTTATGGTCTCCAAATATGTTTTTTCTGAGGTAAATGTGATGTTAAGTGATTTAATGTTTACAAGCTGTTACATCTTTCCACGGTTGAAACACTAATTGAGCAATTACATGATACGAATTTTGGTACGTTTTAGTCTTTCTTTTATCTTAGGATTTAAGAATCGATATTGTTTCGTAAAAATGAGAATCGATTAAAATCGAGAAATCTATATTTTTTACCCAGCCCAAACTACTGATATAATCATTATTTTAACCATCACATAAAATCCTGCTTTGAGGTTTTAGAGCTGAAATGGACTGAGGTAGTGTGTGCTGCCTGTGCCTTTAAGAGCAAGCGATCAATATTTCATTAACTCAAGGCTGATACACGCTTCCCCTCCTCTTTCTAGAGCAGCTCAAACCTCATCACACAGGGTCCATTTGCTTTGACCTCTGCCTTTCTAAAATAACATCACTGGGAGGGATTAAGCATTTATCCCTCATTCTGCTCTTCCGCTTTTCACTCTACGGCTCTGCTTTGTGTAGTGGGGAGATGGAATTAGATTGTGTTAGATGTAGTAAGATGCATTGCAGGTTAAAATAACAAGTGTTGAAAGCAGCCTGAACTGTGTCATTAGTGAACGCGGGGAGTGTGCTTTAAATGAGACTAAAATGGAATCTGAAACGTTACCCCAAAGTCAGGTGATAAAAGACACCTATCTCTTCTTGCAGTTAAAAATGCACAGCAGGTTTTCTGTGCATTTGTCCTGATTTTTCACATCAACTGACAGAGTTCAAAAAGAGTGAAAGAGGAAGGCCATCTGATCAAATAGAATAAACAAACTGTTTATAAACTGCATCTGTTAGCAATTTCCATAAATAGGAATAGCTTTTATAAAGCAATAAAGGCATGTTTTTTTAAGGATAGAATTAGATATGTATGTAAGGGCAGTTTATGGTCAAACACATATTTTTCTTTAATTTATGGGAATATAAATCAACATTTAGCCCCTACAAAGTGAAAGCTAGATTTAGAACACTAGCTAACAATATCTAGATGCTACATCTGCAACCTTTTACTTGCAACCCAATTACACATTGTGTCATTTATTTTTTTAGTTGTTTATGTTCATATACAAGTCTGTTTAAAAAGATAACTCCAAAATGAAAATTCTGTCATCATTTACCCACCCTTCATTTGTACAAACCTGCATGAGCTTCTATTCTGTTGGGCACAAAAGAAGATATTTTAAAGAATGCTGGTAACCAAACAGCTGATGGTAGCCATTGACTTTCATAGTATAGAAAAATGGAAGTCAATGGCTATCGTCAATTGTTTTGTTACCAACATTCTTCAAAATATCGTCTTTTGTGCTCAACAGAAGAAAGACAACTCGTTCAGGTTTGGAACAACTTTTATGTGTACCAATTTACCAAAGCTGCATTTATTTGAGCAAGAATTAAGTAAATATTGTGAAATTTTGTTACAATTTAAAATGTAATTTTAAAATAAATAAAATAGGGAAAGGATTTTTCTAATATGCTGTTTTGCTGCTCAAGAAACATTATTAGAAACTGTGATTTTTTTTTTCTATATCTTGATAAACAGAAATGTAAAAATTCTGGCATTTATTTGAAAAAAAAAAAATTATGTAACATTATAAAAATCTTTAATGTCACTTTAATGTGCATTTTTTTCCTGAACAAAAGTATTAATGAATTTCTTTAAAAAAAAATCTTACTGACCCTAAACTTTTTGAATGATAGTGATAGTTTATCAGAATACATAATACATTCAAAGATACAGCCAGATGGTGTAATTATGGCATCTACCAGCGGGGGCTTTACAAAGGTCATGTGTTGTTAGGCCTGTCACGATAACAACTTTTTGTTGTGCGATATATTGCCCCAGAAATAATTTCGATAAGCGATAATATTGTCATTTTATGCCACTGAATGTATAATCATAATGTAACAGCATAATAATGCAAGAAGGCCTACACACTTCCAAATGACAACAAACTTTAAATTAAGAATATTTTGATCATGGAAATTAAGTATCAAAATATTAGATACCTTAAAAAACCTGAATAAATAGTAAATAAACATTTTCTAACAAAAAGTGCAAAGTAACAAGTAGAAAAAAAGAAAAATGCACAAAGAACTTGTATGGAGATTTTTCCATCTACAGATTTTCCCCTGACCTTCTTTTCTCTGTAAATTAAGGGTGCACACTACTGCTGAGAAACTCAATCACTACTTAGCAATCAGATAGCCGTATGCACAAAGGCACAGATCCCTAAACAAGACCATATCTGCAGATGAAACTTTTTTTTGTAGAAGCATTTTTTAAATTTGAACTAGCACCTCATGACTACACGTTATGTACGAGAAGCTGCAAAAGACACCGGCACAAGTGGAATGGACAAAACATGGTGACATTAATTTTTAAGTAAATATAATGGCCAATATATTGCGTCACCAAAAATTATTGAGGTCATGTACATAATATATTGCGCGATAAGTCGATATACACTCTAAAAAATGCTGGGTTAAAAAGGAACCCAACCGCTGGGTCAAAACAACCCAATAGCTGGGTTTGTCCCTTTTTAACCCAGCATTTTTTAGAGTGTATTGATTATTGCGACAGGCCTATGTGTTGTATCTGCTTATTGTGATCAGCCCTTGGTAGACCATATTAAAGTGCTGCAATTTTTTTCCTGCTGTGTTTCTACCCATCTTCAGGTCACAAATGCTCACAAAGGTCACTTAACTATTACTACCATACTCAGTATGAAGGACGTTACCAGATAATAGCAAAATACTAAATCATTTTCACTGACACAAACAAATTGAAACCTGTTCCAGTCTGTTAAAGTCTGTTAACGGTTATATTGGAGTGTTTATTTGTAAAGCTTGAAATTAAAGTAGAGTATATGGGTTTGTCGGATGTCCCAGCAGTAAAGAACTGACAAAATAACGTCACCGATGGCTGCCTGGCGCCTATCAGCCTTTGAGTTTAAAATCACTGACAGATAAAGAACAGGAGCCGCTGGTAAGTGGGTAGAAAGAGACGCACACACAACACTCACACAAAATAGAAGCACAGTGATTCCCCTGAGACAATATAACCCAGACAGGCACATTCTCTTACAGGCACATTTATCAAGGAAAACAACTAGCCAACAAAAAAAGACTGCTGGGGGGCAAGAGCATCAGACACAACTAGAGGCTTCTTACAGATGAAACAAAAACTTGAAAGACTTACGCATCCATCGTGCACTTTGAGAACAGCTTCGAGTTTCAGTCGTTGCACAAACTCTCTTCTGCCTATAGAGAAAAAAAATGTATACATTTTACAGTGGCAGTTTTCACGTCCAAGGTCATTTGGATTGTCTGTTAATTTACATAGAATAAGAACAGTATTTAACCTGTCCCATATTCAATTCAGTTCTTTAAAATCTGGCATCACCAAATATATAACTGCACAACTGACTGTTTCCAAACAGGTTTCTCCCCATCTTCTAGTAGGATGTTTTTTTAAAGAAATTAATACTTTTTATTTAACAAGAAAATTTTGATTAAATTATAATTCCTAATAAATTATATTCAATTCAATTTCTTCTTATAATTCTTACAAAAAAAAAAAACGATTGCAAATAGATATTGTAAAATTCCTTAAAAAGGGTATCACAGCTTCTACATAAATATTAAGCAGCGCAACTGTTTTAAAATTGATAATAATAACAATAAGCACCAAATTGATTTCTGAAGGATCATGTGACACTGAAGACTGGAACAATGGATGCCGAAAATTCAGCTTGGCATCACAGGAATAAATTACATTTTAAAATATATTAAATTAAAATTCATATATATATATATATAAAATTCATATTTTAAATTCTGATCAAATTTCACAATATTTATGTTTTCATTGTATTTTCGATCAAATAAAAAGCTGAGCTGAGCTTAGCTATACAATATATAAACAAATAGAAGTTTGAAAGCTCATTTATGGTGTAAATGAAGAAACCATAAAACTATATTATGTGGCTGAGAAGGCTGGAATGATTGTTAATGGCTGCTGATTTCTTCATTGCTTTGGAGAACTGCCACAACACTATTACATTACCTCCTGCATTTGCTGAGTCGCTGTACATAGATGGAAAACACCCTGTCATTCACTGTTGTAATAATGTCAACCACCCTGATTTGGTTCTTGTTTTGTTTTTTGCTTGTCTAATCTCTTATAAATGACCTCAGATTTATTTGACATGCAAATACTGTGATTTAGAACCCAACAATACTGGTGCTTTACAACTACAATACCAAGTCACATTCAATGCTGTTTGCATTAAGAAACATTAATAGCATTTATGTTTCTATTCCTGACAAGCAGATATCTGTGTGTGGTTGGTAAAAGACAGATCTTTCCATGACTGTATTTTCAGCCTGTGTAATAAGGAGCTACAAATAGCAAGTGCCAAACTTAGGTCAACCATTTTCAATGGTGCGAGCCTGGAGAACAGCAGTAGCCTGAGATGACACTGCTCTATGCATTGATGAGAATGGTCTGCCAACAGAAAACAAAAGCTGAAATCCATGCAAAAACTCAGGATTTTTAACTGGGTTAGAATTTGTAAACTAGAAGTTGTTAACATTTGTCCATTCACAAATGCATAAAACAGAGATACTCTGTGTTGTTTTTTTGGCTGATACCGTATGTGTTTCTAACCGTTAGCATTGGCAGGCTGTATAACATGAACGAGAGCCGAGCTAAATACGGAACACTCTGAACGATATGCTATCATCACTATCTGAATGTGAGATCCAGGGTAAAACAGCTCACAGACACCAAATACTGAAGATATTGGCACAATCCATTAATCGCATAGAATTCCACATTTAATTCTTAGGCTACAGAGAAGAAATGAGCTAAACTGGTATTATCTAAAATACATATTTAGGTCAGACTAGGTGGATTCTATTACATAAGCGTGCTTTGAAGTCTGCCAAGACTGGCTGACACTTCTCTCGGGTCTCTTAGCTCAAGTGTTATGTTGCAGAGGGCTACATAACAGATCTACAAAGTCACCAGTAGGGTATAATTTGGTGATTTGCGTGAAAATGACTTTTAAAGATCAGATAATGTCAGATTCTCGTCACTGTCAAGCCATGAGCACAATTTCTATTTATTCTTATAAAGCATAATATTAAGACTATGGAGGCACATAGTAATACTGAGCGAAAATGCATCTCCTCTCCTAGTTAAAGTGAAAATTCGGTCATCACTATTCTATTTCAAACCCTCACAGGTACTTTTATGCTGTTTTTTAGAGCCTAGCAGCTTCTGTCTCTGTTCATTATCATTGTACAGAAAAGCACAGCATGGACATTCCAGTAAATAACTCATTTTGTGTTCTATACTGAAGAAAATAAATACAGGTTTTGAACAATGTAAGAGTCAGTAAATGACAGAATTTTATTTATTTTGTGTGTGTGTGTGTGTGTGTGTGTGTGTGAGAACTATGAACTTTTTTGGAAACATTTTACAATCCCGATATGGTAATATACTGAGGATCTCTATCAAAAAATAAATAAGAGCTCAAATATATATTTAATTTATTTAATTATTTATTTAATCAGAGACAATACACATTAATAATACACAAATATCTATGCAAAATGTGCCAGATTTAGCCAGGTAGCTAATTTTCATTGGCAGTCCCGGTACTACACAGCAATAAATCAAAGATATCTGCAAACCATATCTGTACTTAACACTGAAAATCATTCTAGAACAACAGAACATGTTTTGTGTCATAAATCAAGTAAATATTGTCATAAATAAATATTTTTACACCCTAAAGATCTGTGCAGACATTCAATGAATGCATACACCAATTTGTATACATACTGTAAAATGTAAAAAGACAAACCTATTAATATCTCATGACAGGTAGATCCTTCTACTTTTAGATATTGCTACTTTAAACTATATTGTTATTAACTGTCAGAGCGCTGTTTTTGAAAATCTTTTTTCTTGGCAATTTACAGTTCATTTTAAATTAGAAGTGGTTCATTTTTATATGCCACATCATGTTTGCTTATATATTTTGGAACATAACCTTTTGAACAAAGGACTCGTGAAGGATTGATAGCATTAAACAATATTAGTGTTTATTTGTGAAATTTTCTGTGGGGTCTATTTCCCATTTGAAATAATATCCAACTGTGCATATTTAATAAGATATGCATCATTTGCATATTTTAAAAGTTTAAATAGGTAAAATCTCAAGGCAGAAAAGCAAGGAGAATACTGTAGCCAATTCAACTGTAGTACTTCCCCTTAAATCTAAAAATCAACCCAATGCTATTTAATTCAGAGCTCCTCCCAGACAAATCAGCTGGACATTTGAGTTTTTTTCTGTATTAAAATGTAACCAATAACACCGATAACATGTCGTTCTGAAAACAGATCAGCATTAGAGTAACAGGTCAGATGATCTTTAACCAGTGTCCCTGTCCTGTGTACAAGCTCAGATGACAGCTGTCACCTAGAAAGTCTTAGTCAACAAGTCTCCCAGCTTTTTTTTAAGTGCAACGGTGTGATATTGGTCGTAGATCCTTACCTAAATAATTTGTCCTGACCGCATATGGATCTGTGCATCCAATGGTGCGTTTTTGTACATCCCAAATGAGGTTGCCAGAGCAGGACATGGTGTTTAAACCTCTAATGTTGAGACATGCATGGATGAAAAGGGGAGAACAGACGCTTTCCTTATGTGTTTGTCTTCCTTCAGTGGCGTTTGATTATTATTGTTTCCCTTTACAGCGCCTAATAGTCAGTCGCTATAAGTTCATCGACAACTGATACTGGATGAATGAGAAAATATTACTCCTCGATATCGACACCCCCGCGGCGATCAGTTTCCGTTTTGTGCATGATTGCTTTGAGGCGTAGTAAAAATATTGCGCTTCTTGTTTGGCTATCCGCTTTAGCCTCTGCTGCTCTGGTACGTCAAATCCATCTCGAGCCCAAAGCCAATGGAAGGAAGAGACGCGCAGTATGTTGACTGTAATGTGTGGGTCGCTCTGGAGAGCGTCAAGTGTGCGCACAAGTTACGCCGATTCGCGAATCACCGACTGCATTCAAATTTCAACACAATTTTTTTTGTTTCACCTACAGTATTTGTACACTAAAATCTATTGGTTGAAAAGATTGTGTAACTGATGTGCGAAAGAAAAACGCCCATGGTAAATTACCATCTTTATTTTAAAAAATGGATACAGAAATAAAAATACAGTTTTAAAATATAAAAAATATTTAGACAAAACACGTTTTGCAAATATAAAAGCAATGCAGTATATTAATTAACACATAGTATTGTATTAAACAAAACAAATCAACCAATCCATCAATAAATGTTTGTTTCGAACATGCTATTGTCATACTACTCTCTTCGCTCAAAAAGGACACTGTGAAGGACGATTTTTTAAATGTATTTATTTATTTAATGAAATGAATGGACATGCATGGAAACTTTTAACTTCCACGCCCAGCATTCCACTCTTTATACTCTCCACGTAACCGCAAAAACAGCTTCTTTCCTGACGAGGCCCCGCCTTTTAAAAGCGTGCGAACTCCTTCCAGCCAATCACACAAAGAGGCTTGACCACATTAACCAATCCTTTACCTCAGCGGCTCATCCACGTCATGACGCAATTAGCTTTGCGACGTGTCCCCACTGACGCTTCACAAGAAGACAACATAGCAGTAAACTGCATTAGCAAGGTCGAAAGTAGGACAATAACGTAGACTTTGTACTTTATGCTCGTCCAAAGATCTTGTTTTCCTGACTACGGGCTCTTGCCTTTTGGTAACATCACGGGTCAATAGCAGCAGAGTGCTTTGCACGTCCTCAGCGGAATTTTCGTGCGTGCAGTGCTAGCATTTAACTTGTTTAGCAGTCATCATGGCTATGGTGGGGCTGAGAGCTTCTTACCACAGAATCCTCGACAGGATCGAGCATATGCTGCCGGCTAAACTGAGACCCGTTTATAACCACCCTGCAGGTAACACAAATGCTGTTAGAACAGCTTATTTGTCACTGATACTGTTAACCTCTTGAGGTGGCAGCATACCCTGAAGTGACGGTGCAGCCATAGAGACTACTACCTGAGCAGGTGTTTTTGTCTCTATTGGTGCACGGATAGATCAGAATTAGTCTCCTTAGATGCATACCCTAGAATGGAATTGAGGTGCTTGACGTGTAACTATATGGTAATGAATTATAGCCACTGTATAATATGTTGAATTTTATTATTATTATTTGTATTTATTTATTTATTGGTGTGTTGTTGACACTGGTCTGCAGTTATAGTCTTGCCAAACTTGCTTTTGTGTTTTTGGCACTTTCGGTGATTTTGAGTGCAAAACCGGTCTTACAAATTTTTAAAAACGTATTTACACATATTATAAGTGAGAATTAACACCGTCTTTTCATTTTTGATCAATTGGTCCGTGAAAGAATGTGCCTAAACTTGTGTTTCATTAAATATGTTTAAACTAATTTGTGTTTTCAAATTTTGGGACACGACTAATGCATTTAAAGCAGCACTATGTAACTTTTAGCGCTCTAGCGGTTAATAAACACAACTGCACACATCCCGCGGAAGAGCATTCCAACCGGAGCTACTTCTCTAAGTTTATGGCGATTCACGCAGGTATGTGTTATTCCGCAGCGGTGACGACCTGACCAGGCTACAATAGTCCAAATATAAGTACTTATTATAAGTGTACCGTAGTGATTCGGAATAAGACAAAAACGCGGTTTGGAAGATGAATTCATGATGCACTCGCTCATTATATACATTTTGCTAATTTTGAACACAGAAAAAGTTACATAGTGCTGCTTTAAAGTCATGACTTATGTGATTGTAATTTTCCAATTAGTATGATATATTTATGATTTTAAACAATAATCCATTGTACATGTAAGATTTTAATTGTACATGTAATGAAAAAGTAAAAAAAAAAAAAACTGTATTCTGTACTGTACTGTGCCCTACTGCATTTGTGGAAAGTGCCCTTGAGAAACAGAAATCGTTCAATGTAATATTTTCTGTTACTGAATTACTGAAAATATTTTCTGTTCTAATAATCTCACATGAGTTCTCTAAAGGGAGTTAAAGTGTTTATAGTTCTAGTCATTGGTGGTAGAATAAATATAAATCAAATTACATGTGTGTTGATAAGCAGAGGCTGACTGACTGAAAAAAGATTAAACAAAAGAACAGTGCTGGCATACAGATTTTGACCTCAGCTTCACGTTTGGCAGAGGGAGGGGGTCATATTAAGCACTAGAGATGACTGATCTTTTATTAAATGATATTAACATTAATCTTTATAATGCAGATTGGTTTATTTTTTAGATGTTCTAATACATACTTTTTGTATTATGTAGATCACTGATGGCTGGAACTCCACTAAGCTGATCAGTGCAGTTATTCTTGTTGTAAACATTGATTGTTTACAAATAATAATCGATAATTGGTTAAACATTTGTACCATCAGCCATTGTATATTGAATTTCTTATTAAAAATCAATTAAAGTCTGAGCTTTGGCATGGTGTGGTGGACATGTTCACAACGCAGTGCCATCAGCTCACAGGCATGCAGGTTCAAGTCTGTGTACTTCAGTGCTGTAAATAAATTATTTATATGTACCTTCATATTTTAGAAAGATATTATACATATTTATGAAAACACAGCCACAAAGTGTACTGGCAAGAACAAGTATTTAGTGTAAAAATCACCCAAAATTCTCTTGTGTGTCAGTAACTTTTTTTGTACTGTTTTGTATGTTGAAACACCTGATTGCTGTCACAATTACACACATTCTGTGAACATTTGACCTGTGAAACATGAGTTTAACAGTATTGATTTGCTCTTTGTTTAGGTCCAAAGACTGTTTTCTTCTGGGCACCAATGTTTAAATGGGTGAGATTAATAACACACAGGATCTGGATGTTCTTTGGATTAATTGAGATTTATTTATTTATATCTATATATATCTATATATCTATCTATATATCTATCTATATATATATCTATCTATATATCTATATATAGATATATATATATAGATATATATATATAGATATATAGATATAGATAGATAGATAATTGTTACATTTCTGATTTCACACAGGGTCTGGTCATAGCTGGCTTAGCAGACATGACACGTCCAGCAGAGAAACTCAGTACCTCCCAATCTGCTGTGTTGACAGCCACAGGTATATCTCACACAGTAACCAATTCTTTAAAAAAAATAAAAAAAACCCTGAACAATTCAAAGATCCCAATCTCCCTCACTCTCTGTTTTTCAGGTCTTATTTGGTCCAGGTATTCCTTGGTTATTATACCCAAGAACTGGAATCTCTTTGCTGTAAACTTCTTTGTTGGAGGTGCAGGAGGATCACAGCTCTACAGAAAATGGAAGTGAGTACTCTCATTCACCTACACAATACATGCTATAAAATATCGTAAATGGGGAAACAGGCAAAAGGTGAATGTTCTTGATTTTAGACTTTTGTTCAGTTTCCAAACAAACCTTCAGCTGACGCAGTCTGGCAGTGAAGTGCATCAAGTCTTGCACTCTCTAAATCTAAATAAAACACCCTCTCTTTAAATAAAACGGTATGCTTTATTGCTGTTGTGCCATTAAAAAACAACCTTTTTCCACATTTTATCTGCTGTGAGCTTACTTTTTGCTTATCTACACTTTAACAAGACTGGTAGCAATAAAGCAGACCGGGTCTTCCAGCATATTGTGTAATTTGAGGGATGTTCAATATATGAGCTCTTTATTCCCCACAGGTATAACCGGGAACAGAAGGCAAAGGAGAAAGAAGCTCAGGCTTGATACCAGTGCTGTGTAAATGGCATCCAGAGGACCGAAAGGGACTCTCCTCGACTGGTACCCCAGAAACTTCCCCTCCATCAACAGTCATCCAGTAGAGCCTCCACATACTTTCTTCATGAACAGAGATCATCTGATTCTTTTAGAGTTCAGGTCATTGTCCCGTGCCACTAGTACCTATAGCAACAATTAATACGGTTGTTAATAACGCACAAAATGTTACATATTCATTTTAGTATGATTGTACATTCTTTAAAAGGCTTGTTTCAAATACATGGTGATAAAGGTGTTTTCCATCCAATATACTTGAGTTACCATCATAATTCATGAATTTCTTCACTCAGTTGCTGTCATACGGTTATCAGAATGTCTCTAAATAAATTTGAGAAAAGTCTCTTTCATTATATGTATTTCTTAGGAAATATTTATTAAACAGCGTTTTATTTTATTCACTTTTTACATATCCTTAACATGAAATTGTTACATGAAACCCATACATTACAAAATACGCACTGAACTGTACTGTAATATTGGAAAGTTGATTAACGTCAAAATAAAGTAATATTAAAATCAAATTTACTAAAAGTGTCTTGCCCTTATGATCAAGTGTACGGTTCATGTGCATTGATCTGCCTAGTTATTCACCTTTATCCAGCATTATAAAATCATTACATACTTTAAAGTACTTATTATTTGAACCAATTAGGAGTATCACACTACCATTTTACTCGTTCAATTTCTACTGTTTAGTCTGCTCACAGTATGCATTTTTTGTACACAGCACCAGAATGTGCATTATACAACCTGACCATATGTATCCCACAATGCAATGCACACAACTTGACCTGTTTCCAGTGCGACATATGAGGCGGTGTTATCAGCTGTGATTTTTAACACCATTATTTTTGACTCATTATCAGACAGCCAAAATTATTGTAATAAAGCATTTTTAGATGACAACTAAAAATCACTCTTAAATTATATAGTGAGGTCACATTTGACAACAATGTAACATAATACAGTTTGAAAGGTTTACTGCTGTATTAGGATGTTTCACATTTTATTTGTAAACTAAAATGGTATGTACTAAGCAGTTGTATACTTCTTTCTCGCTTAGCCTACTGTATATGTTTTTGTGACAGTACACTGCTGGCCCCGTGTGGTGCTACAAGAAACTGCATTCAGTAGAATGAGATCCACA